GGGTCCTGTGGGGACACACGGCCCCCAGGCACTCGCCTGCGAGCCCCAACCCTGGGCCTGGCTCCAGGTTGGGGCCCCAGTAACGCCAATCTGGGCGACATGAGCTTCTTAGTTTTTAAGTCTTTCATCACCAAGGGTGGTTTGAACCACTCTTAGTCTGATCCATCGTCTAGGACCTGTTTGCTTTGGGAGACCCTACCAGGGGCATTAAGTCCCCGACAACATAGCTCCTAGATTCATTCGAATACTCAAACCAATCCACCACGTCAAGGTTGCGGTTCCAGGAGGGGAACCCCTCCACCACATTAAGGTTGCCATTCCAGGAGGGGTATATAAGGGACATCATTTTATAAATAATCCAAAATACTGGACGGAGTAGGTTTTTTTTTCTTCAGTTCTGAAGAAGTGTATTGGATGAGAGGTGAAACGTCTTCAGGAGACCTACTCCGTCCAGTTGCCCTCACTGTAACTTTTTTTGGATTAAATGACCTGGGTGACTGAGAACCTACACAGACATTTTTTGTTTGTTTGCTTAATACAATATTTGTAATGTTTTCTCCAGTGGTGGTGGGAGCCAAAGAGGTGGTCGTCACCTCGGCAGAAGAACTCCTCAGAGTTGTACAAGCAGGAAGACTTCTTCGCCACATCGCCTCTACAGGGATGAATGAGCGCTCCAGCCGCTCTCACACCATCATCTCCCTCAAGGTTGCCCATTGTTCTAACAGTGAAAACTCTTCCTTGAAGTCTGTCCAGACATCCAAACTCTGCCTGGTCGACCTGGCAGGATCAGAGAGAGCTGGGAAAACCGGCAACACTGGGGTGAGGTTCAAAGAGTCTGTACGCATCAACACCGGCCTGCTGGCTCTCAGCAAAGTCATCAGTGCGCTATCTGAACCTGCACGGACACACCACAGCACACACATACCATACCGAGATGCAAAAATCACCCGGCTCCTCCGCGACTCTCTGGGAGGCACCGCTCATACACTAATGGTGGTCTGCGTCAGCCCCTCCCACCAGAGTGCAGACGAGACTTTGGGAGCTCTGCAGTTTGCATCCAAAGCCCGTTACATTCGTAACTGCCCCAGAGCAACGTGCACAGTGGTGAAATCAAGTAGCATTGCCCGAATGGCGGAACTTGACTTGGAAGTGCAGACACTGAGAGAGCTGCTGAAGGAGAAAGAGCTGGAGGTGCATAGGGAGAGGACGGGTGGAGAGATAGTAGAGAGCCTCAGACAGTACCAACTCCTAACAGAGGAGGCCGCAGCTCTGCTCGAAGACATCTCTGGTCCACCGCTCAGTCCTTCTCTAAAGCAGCAGCTGCAGGACTGGCAGGAGAGACTGACAGTGGTCAGTAATTCACATCCTATAGCTAACATGAAGAATTCAGAGGGAGGTGGAGACCAGTCGGACCATGACACAGTGGTAAAGCTGAGGGAGGAGCTCAGCAGATACCAGGTAATAAAACATGGCTTGAAAAGTTAATACATTGTCTCTAAGGGTGACCTATGGTTGTTGTAGTACAGTAAGTAGCTAAAACTTAACAAAATCACTATATAATTGTTTTCTCTGTAACCTTTAGGAAGCCCTGAACTACAAGGAGCAACTGCTGGAGCAGAAAGATGTAGCACTCAGGCAGACAAAAACGGATTTGGAGAAACTTCTTCTGGACAGTAAAGTAAGCTTCCAAGTCTTAGAACAGGAAAAGGAACGTAATCGTTTACAGGTGAGAAGAACAGTTTGGAACTCATTCTTCCTCAATCTATTTTACACACTACAAAATCTGGCAACACAAATTCATCAGATAGATGCTGCTGTATTCGATAGTAGTTCTGCGGTTTTATTTTATTTAAATCTCTGTTGAATGTTGGCAGATCGAACAACTGGTGGAACTGCAGGTTGTAAATGATCATCTGCGTAATGAGATCACCGCCTTAAAGAGCGCCATCTCTGGAGGTCCTAGAGAGAGAGATGCTCCTAAGAAACCTGACAAGAGGCCACACAGTGTCCCTGTGAGCAGGAACAGTAGTGGAGACCCACTTCACAGGAAGGTCTGCACTGTACTCTATTATCCTTTAAATCTTCCAGTTCTGTGGCTTTAATTTAAAAAAAAAATCACCTGGGTTCCCTTTTTCTGATTTGATTTAACAGCGTTTGATTTGTGTTTCTATCCGAATGCATGTTTACAGATTCAGTCCAGTCCTGCGGAGTTTACTTTGGAGAGAGCAATGACCGCCTTCAAAGTGCGGAAAAACCTACGTCTGGCAGAATTTGACGATAACGATGGCATGTTCCTGCCAATCAGACAACGAGAGGCGGAGAGAAAAGGCAGGAGTCCAGACTGTGAGAAGGAGAGAGAGGGGAATGATGAGGATGAGGAGACTGTCAGCAACATGTCACTACAGTAATTTTTTAAAATACAGATATCTTCCTTTGACATTGACATTCTGTTTACAGCAATAAATAGTCCCTCCTAAATGTCTTATTATGCTACTAGGGGAAAAAAACAACAGGACAGATTTTAAAGCAGCTTAATTCTTTTCCTGTTAAATACTTACAACTCATTAAAATCTGGTCCTAATTATCCAACTTTATAATTTTTGTGATTTTTACTTCAGAGATTCGTGGATTATCAGGCAGAATCCATGTTTGCTACCTCAAGGAAACAAAGGTATCATTGTGTTTGATTAGTTTTGTGATTAAATCAAAGTTTTCCTAACTGTTTTTTCTCCGTGCTGTCATTTATACAAAGAGAGTTTAATTCCTTTGTCTTCACAGAGCCCAAGAGAAACCAACCCAGAATTCCACTTGCTGCTGCTCAGAAAATAATCAAAGATCTGTCAGTTAACATACGCATGAAGGAGGAGCTCATTTTAGCTCTGGATAAAACTGGTGTGTCTCTGATGACACACTTTTTACTAAGCACAAATCACGTCATTGCACAGTAACTACAGTATTAGTTGTAGTTCCACATCTCAACCGCTACTGATCTTAATCTATCAATGTGTGTTTTTGTCTCATAGACAACTTGATCCAGGCAGTGGACGCTGGAGATGAATGTCAGCCTGGCATTTTAGGAGCACTTTCCTCACAGAACCATCAGATCAGGACAGAGGTTTATCAGGGTCTTCAGCACATGAAGCTGGAGAGAGACCAGCTTCAGACAAATGTCAGGCAGCAAACTCAGACGACTGACAGCGAAGCTATCACTCAAAGTCAAGTTAGTTAAAGAAGATAATTTTTTTCCCATCCCCACGCTCATTTACCTATCCTCTTCTTTTTTCAGGTATATGAGAGCAGTTGGCTGGAGCAGCAGGAGGAAAAAGAGCTGCAAAACAGAGCTGATCTGCAGGAGCTGCAGGAAGAGATGAGGAGCAGAGAGGAGGTGGTCCTGCGCAGAGAGTCGTATCTGCAGGAGAAAAACAAGCTGGAGGTCAAGAAGTTACGCTCCAGTAAGGTCGGTGTCTTTGTTTAATTATTTATCAAATCTTGGTAGAATGTGGCGCTTTGGCCCAGAGGCAATGTTTCTGTCATTGGTGTGGAACCCCAGGGTTCACCTCCTGGGCAAGTTTGAATCCCAGTTAGTGCGATTGGTAACTTCCAGTAGACTCACCACCCAGGAAGGTTGGTACGGTGCAGTGTGATTCAGTTACTCCCATTGTTTGTTTTCTTTTGATGACCTCTAGGTTCTGGGTCAAAACTTGCTGCGTGTTTCAATGCAGCTGAAGTCCGTGGAGGAGCAGCTGCAGGGCAGGAGCGAGAGAGGAGTCACCAAAGAGGAGCTGAAGAGAGAGAGAGACCAGCTGAAGAAGCAGAAAGAAAACATCGACGCACAGCTGAAGGAAAACAAAGTCCTTACTGCAGAGGTCAGAAGCATTGATTTGACAGGATTTAGGTCTTGTTCAGGTCAAGATCTTAGAGCATTATTATCCATCTCTCAGGAGGAGTATTCGCTGCTACAGCTGGAGGAAGCTATTGAAGCTCTGGACGGAGCCCTGGAGTTCAAGAGTCGCTTCATTGAGGACAAAAAGAAGCTGCTGCTCAGTGAACCTCTGCCTGTGTGTGGTGTCATCAGGAAGCTGAAGGAGCTTTCTTCACCTGAAGCCACAGAGCTGCTGGTCAAATATTTCAACAAGGTATTGAAGGATAACTTTTCTAGTTATTTTTCATACATTAGATCAGCGGTGTCAAACTCATTTTCACCAGGGGCCACATCGCCAATACAGTTCCCGTTGAAGGGCCGGTTGTAACTGGAAGACTGTAAAGAGCAGGGGTTCCTAACCTCTGGTCCACAGACCAATAGCAATCTATAGGTCATTTGGTACCAGGCCGCAGTAGGACACAGTTAAAAAATGTACTTAGTTTTTACTAATGTACTTCATTCATAGAAAATACAGTCATATCAATTTACTTTCTTTATTTAAAGATAGTCTGGCAATATTTTAAAGTAATAAGTCATTCAGACTCTGATACTGACAGAATAGAGTCTAATTTAATGCAGATTCCCTGACTAGGTTGTTCAACAGTATTTTAGAGACGGACAAGATGCCTGATGAGTGGAGGAAAGGTGTTCTTGTACCAATTTATAAGAACAGTGATGTGCAGAGTTGTAACAACTACATAGGGTTAAAAGAGTAGTTGAAGCTAGGTTGAGGCAGGAAGTGGAGATTTGTGAACAACAGTATGGTTTCATGCCTAGGAAGAGTACCACAGATGCAATATTTGCCTTGAGGATGCTGATGGAGAAGTACAGGGAAGGTCAGAAGGAGCTGCATTGTGTATTTGTAGATCTAGAAAAGGCATATGACAAAGTGCCAAGGGAGGAATTGTGGTTTTGTATGAGGAAGTCAGGAGTGGCAGAGAAGTACGTTAGTTTGGTGCAGGCCATGTATGGGAATAGTACAACAGTAGTGAGGTGTGCTGTTGGAAGGACAGAAGACTTCAAGGTGCAGGTGGGACCTCATCAAGGATCGGCCCTGAGCCCCTTCTTGTTTGCTGGG